CCCCAAAACCCCAAAACCCCAAAACCCCTGCTTTAAGATAATGAAAATTTGTGCATAATTTAAGGCTAAATGAATGTTAGTTTATGTATGGACAAATAAATTGAAAATTTTAGGCGAAAAATTAAATTACATCAACTCATTCATATTTAAATTTTTCATTTCTTTTGAACTATTGTAAGACCGTCTGACAAATAAATAGAATGGACATCTACTCTTTCATCGTTTAAAGCCATTTAAACTGTTTTCCAGATGCATCTTGCATTTTCATCGCTGTTTCTCAAAGTCTCATCTGTTGTCTTACCATTCCAAATAGTATTGTCAATCATTAAGAATCCGTTGGGCTTTAGTAGCTTGATAATTCTGTCATAATAATTAGGATAATTTGGCTTATCAGCGTCCACAAAGGCGAAATCAAAAGTGTCAATATTGGACTCGTCTGCAAGTAATTCATTTAAAACTATATCGCCTCCCTCTAGTCTAAGTTGAATTTTGTGGTCAACACCAGCCTCTTTCCAGTACTTCTTCCCTAAATCAGTCCATTCTTTGTTAACATCTACTGCAATAAGAAGTCCGTCATCTGGCAGAGCTTCTGCGAATGATAATGCAGAATATCCTGTAAACACTCCTAATTCTAAGCCTTTCTTGGCCTTTGCAAGCTTGATTATAAATTACATATGCTCGCATTAGTCTATTTCAGTGAGCATTATTGCATCATCAACAAGTTTTTCATGAGTTTCTCTTCTTAGCCTCACCTTAAGATCTGGAATTTTATTCATTGAGAAGTTAACAAAATCTTATACATCATGTCTGCTTTTATGATGTTGAGTATACTTTACTAATGTTAATGGGTTAGTTGTTGTTGTCTATTATTTTTTTGAAGATAATTCCATTTGTTATTCAATAAAAATCTTTATATGTTGTAGTCAGAATCGGTTCAATTATAGTAAAATTTTAATTTATCTGAGCTAAGAATAAATTAGTTTCAGTAAAGTTAAGTAATCTGATAATTTTTTAAATACTTTAATAACTCTTTAACCCCGACTGATCGAAATTAGATTCATGGGGTTTTGGGGTTTTGGGG